TTTAGTTCATGTCAGCCAACTGAGTCACTGAATTACTCGGACCTCATGCCTATTGTTCCTTACAAGTTGCAGAAGAAACATATTATTATTATTTAATCGAGTACCTCCCACTGTTTGTGAAATTGTCCCCCTTTCGCGCGGTCACCACTACCCGCAAATCCCTTAGTCATGCCCCATTCTGACTGTAAACGCATGATCATGCCAGACGGCATGCCACCCACAAGTTGAGAATAAATATTATCATTATCATTATCATAAAAACCATGTTGGCCAAACGTGGTTCAAGCATGTCGCCAGGAGGTGACGATATTTCAGGGGAAAAAGTTCAAGCTCCGCAAGGCGCGTTTCATAGACAACGGAGTTATGACGGACAACCGTTTTTCGAGCAGCTCGTTGAACGAGTTCAATGAGGGTTGAGACTTTCTTGCATCCTGATTAAACAGTCTGGCTGGTATATGCAACAAACGGTCTGACATGGGCCCCTAGATTATGCGGAAGTCCACGTGGGATGTACGGAGGAAGGTGCGCTGAATCTTCCGCGGAACGAAGGATGACTTTTGATGCGATTTTTCATCTCAAGTGAGAAAGACAATTTTGAAGCCGTACATGTAAATTCCTTTTGATATCTCCCTTCGCAATATCTTCTGGTCCATTCTCCTCACACAAACGATCCAGGCGCTCACCGGATCCCCTTCGAAAAAAATATTGACGCACATTTTTCATTCTTTGGAATGTGTCGTGCCAGGGGCTGCTGGTTTGCATTTTACGAAATGCCAGCCCATTTCCGTCTCCTGTAGTTGGCTTTGTGAAAAGTTCCGTGATCTCGTTTAGGTAGCCTCTGCGCCATTCGCCCGAGTATCAATTTCTTTCTCACAAACGCCGCATCATTCTTGTGAATTTTTTGGACAGTGTTCCTGTATGTCTCTTACAGTGAAACTGTATTAAGTTTATTCTGATCTGGGAAGGTTGTCATTCCTGAGCAGTTTGGAATCCACGTTTAGGACTTTTTGTTCCTGGCTGGATAGGTGAAATCAAAGCTCAACACGCACTGGTCACTATGTCACGTTGTAGTTCGAAGAAGTACCCTCCGTTGGTAGAAAGGAAATCCAGTGTGGATGACAGACGACGTGGTTCTTATTTGGTTGAAGCGGTAACATTTTAAGTCTAATAACTTTGATGAACGAATTTGGACAGTGCCGGTGCAAATAGAAACATGGGTCATTTTCCCTCCTTTACTGCGTACAAAATATGCTCCAGGAAGTCCCATAGTGCAACACACGCATTTTCACAGCAACGCACATTATTTTACCCAGTTTAAAGTACAATCTCAAAAGTTACGCTTGTGCTACTTCCAAAAATTTTTTTCAAACTTTGGTTACGCGAATTTCTTAATCTGTTGAAAAAGTGACAAATCATCATTTGACCTTTTTATTCGAAGGTAACCTGTGTCTAAGAAGCCGTGATCCACTTTTGCGCTTCACCCACTTTTTACAATCATAAGTGAGGCTTAATCAAGCTGCTCAGTATTGGCGTACCACAGCAGATGTCGCTGGGTGTAAGACGTGGAATGCACTAAAATGCTTGCCAGGCCTGATGGCATTTTATGCGTCCGAATTTGCAAGCTAGTCGATCTCTCCTGCCCTAATTGTTTGCTGTAGTTCCCTCCATCTTTGGGGTAGTATACATTCTACCAACAGCAAGATGGTTGTCGATAATGAAACCAACCCCTCAGTTGTAGGTCAGAGGGACTGGCGCAAATGTTTTGTTTTAATCGGAATGCGCGAGGAAAATCCAATAGTTTTCTGCGAAGGCCTTGGAAAGTGCTAGCAGGAAAAATTACAACATGTACTTGTACCCGACGCTCCTGGTGGCTCCGTTGGCTGTAGAGAAATTGATACATTAGTACCACGTGGCAGTCAAGACCACAGGCGTAGGCGTCCAGAATGATCAGCTTGAGGTCGTCTTACATTATAAGCTTGCCAAATGTCTGACGAAACCACTCCTTAGCGGCGCCGTTACAAAGTCAGAATAAGCAATACTACGCTCATAATGGTCAAGTATTTTATGCAAACTACAGTACAGTAAAGCGGCAATACATAAAAGTCCCCCGAGGAACACCAGTAAATCCGAAGACCAAAAAGCGACAAAGGGGTCAAGCTGCATCGTATGGGAAGAACGAAGCAAGCTTCACCTGGCAACACATTCGCTGACAACAAAGCAAAGACCATCCTCATGTTCGTTGTGGGCTCTTATGCCCCTAAAAGCGCGCCGGCGTGGCCAAAACCGACTCCAGATTGCGACTTATACTCAAACGCCGTAGACTCCTCGACTCTCAGTGACATTGATGCTCAGGGTGAGACCAGCCATGGCAGAATGTCCAACATGTGTAAAAATATCGTCGCTAATTTCCTCAGTAAATGAAGAAGGCATATTAGTGAATCCCACCCCCAAATAACAAGCTCTAAGCCAGTTTGGGTGAGCTGGGTGGAAGAAACTAGTTAAATCCACCAACTTCGGGGAATGCTGGAAGAGCTTAACCACCACCGAGGACGCGAAGTTACATGCATGAAATCGATCATCATCTATGCTTCCGATGCCCAGATACACAAATCCGTCAATAACATGACGGGAAGTCATACATACATACGGTTAACCACGATGATTGTGGACGAATGGGCCGCCAATACAAGCACAAAAGGCAAATAACCGCGGGCTAATGAGCCAACTACAAATAGCAAATTTGAAGAGCTACTTAGTTAATTCACAATACAGTCTGCAAAATTGGGCTTCTCAGGAGTTCTCTCAGCAGGAATAATCCTTGATAAAGCCATTCAACGCACAAGTGGCTCAACAGGGACTGACAGAGACGACGTGGCTAAAGCCGTTCCCAGAAGCCCATGAAACGAACCGAACGCCCGTCCACCACAAATCCATGGACAACAGCGAATCCAGATGTTCAATAGTTGGCACTGCACATCCTAACAGCAGATGATTCCTGGATTTTCCTGCCACTACTTGAAAAAATAAGTCGCACGACGCAAAAGAGCTCACTCAACCCGGGCTCCCTTGGTATCAGCTTTTCACATGCAAACGAACAGCAGCACACAAATGCACCGAGCTGGTAGTGAGACAAATGCGCAGCAGTGGCGCCTTCGAACGCTTGGACCAAAACCCGGAAAAGAACTGATAAACATGCTTGCGATTTTGGTGGTACCCGTCTGTGCCCTCCAACTTCTGGTGGGGCAGAGATAGTGCTGAGCATTGCTACACCCAGTTTTGGCTTGTGCTTTTCAGGTGAACAAAAGCCACTGAATTAAAAGAAGAAAATAGGACCAGAAAACTCTGACGGGTTTCTCGACCCTGTGGATCAACCCGGAAATTCGGTGGGCCTTAGTTTTACTGCAAAATGATCACCTTGTGAGTGAGTACATTTAATTTTAAAGCATAAGCTTCTCTGCTTGTTTTGTAATATCCAAAATGAAGCACTGATGGTCCGTAGCCGATAGAGAACCCGTTTCAAACGGATTTTTCTCTGACCGTTCTTGCGTGTTGGATGCATCCGTATTTATGGACAGTTTAACTCAAGCCACAGACGAGGGACTCATATCCGATACCATATTTTTCTAATTCTCAAACAGCATTCAACCGAGTCCCACACGTCTCGCTGCTGTAAAAACTTGAGTCTTTTAGAATCCGAGGGAAAATCCTTCCCTGGATCAAGGCGTTCCTATCGGACAGATCATTCCGAGTGAGAATAGGCTCGACCTACCCTTCTCCAGCAGCGGTCTCCGTTTGGGTTCCTCAAGGCTCCTTTTATTCGTCATGGCTGTTTCTGATATTTGTCGATGACCTTCCAGATGTTCTTGCAGGTTCATGCCTACTTTTTGCGGACGACTTGAAATCCTGGACTTCCGACGCCAGTGCCCTCCAAATGGACGCAGACGCTACAAAGCAGTGGTCGTTGGATTGTCACCTTCCTCTGAATGACGAAAAGTGCGTCCGTATGTCATTTGAGGGAGGCTCAGCGAATGCCCTTTTCATGCATGGTAGGAAAGGACCAGAAGACATCACGAGGATAGATGTCGAAAAGGACTTGGGTATCTGACTCCTTTCAGACATGTCCTTCTCGCTGCGCCATGAGAAATCGGCCCAAAAGGCATTCGCTGTTCAACGAATGATTTGGCGCACCCTCTCTCGTATTACTCACATGGATTTCTAAATACTCTGTGTGTCCTGGGTCAGGTCGCCCCTTGAATATGCCAACCAAGTTGTCTACTAGGGACACACAAAAGACAACCCTCATTGAGCGTGTCCAGTGAGCTGCTGCGAGAATGTTTGCCGGCCTCAAATCCGCTGACTACGAATCGCGTCTCACCCTCTTTCCCAATGAGCACCGTTGCCTCCTAATTCTTGCATATATCCTGCTTGAACAAGGCTCGGTAAACTGGTTTTTCATCGTTGATCCGGCAGACAAATGGCGGGGACACGGTAGGAAGATTTTCGAGCTCGGATCGCACAATTTCATTAGGCAACATTTCCCGCATTCCGGGTAGTAGCTGCGTGGAATAATCGTCCTCCGACGTTTGTCCACGCTCATTCAATGACCCAGTTCAAAGCACTGGTAGTCACTTATTTATACAAGTCCTCGCGCCGACAAGCCCACTGCCCCGCATTGAGAACTTAAGGAGCAGTGCTACACCCATCTTTTCGCCTGATCCTTTCAGATGAACTACAGCCGCTGAACGGCAAGAACAAAGCTGAACCAGGGAAACTTGTGCGAAAGCCTCGAAATTGGGTACCATTCGGTGAATACAAACGTCGTTGTTTTAATGTGCTAAATCGATTTTGTTCGGCTAGCCCGCGATTGTGAGCGATATGAATAGGTTATTTGGTAGCAGCAAGCCCAAGCAACAGTCGAACTTAACGGACGTTACAGTCAGCGTAAGTAACCCTCGAGGTCATATCCTTTTCTTATTGGATTGCAGATTGATGAGAGGAATGAATCTGTGGAAAAGAAGATTGCCAAGTTGGATGCGGAGATACAGACTGTGTCAAAGCAGTTACGAAGTATGCGTGACGGCCCAGCCAAAAATGCACTTAAGCAGAAGGCTCTCCGTCTTTTGAAGCAAAAGAAAGTTTATGAACATCAAAGTGAACAGCTAATGAACCAAAGTTTCAATGTATCACAAACGGACTTCGCCATCAAGTCACTGCAAGACACGAAGACCACGGTTGAAGCGATGAAAGTTGGAAGTAAGCAGCTGAAACGAGAAATGAAGAAAATGAACATTGACGAGATATTTGTAAGTGGGCCCCTCAAATGGGAATGACAGACCATCTAAACGGTCTATTAATGTTTCTCGTTGTAAGAGGCGGTGCATTGGTCACGTCTGGTCGGAAAATGGGGTAGGCAACAGTGAGGTGCGCCACATGCTCCCAATGGAGGGAAATCTCGCGACGGACTTCGCACGTCAGGATAATCCATGCTGGTTGGGACGTGTGCTTCGTATGTCAGAGGACCTGCTACCTCGCTGAGCTGTTGGCCTAGCCCTGTGCCGGGTGGAAACGACGGAGTGGCCGACAGACATTCGTCACTCTGGAAAGCGAGTAACGAATGTGCTAGCTGTCAGAGTCAGTTGGTGTGACCCTCAGCTTCCTTGAAGAGGACCCAGCAGTCAGCTCACCAACGGTTAACGACACTAGTAGACATGGCTCCTTAACGCGGTCAGTGGATCTTGCGAATCATTGATGTCGCCATCACTGCTGCGCTGGTTATTGTCGTCTTTTTGAGTGGGAACCCCGAGACGATATATATCAATGGTTAGAGACATTGTCAGACATGGCCCAGTCGCGCCCCCAATGGCGCTCGTGCACCCAAGCTATTGCCTTCAGTGCATAGCTCCCTTCCCAATTCTCCCACTTGACAACCCATTGACAATGCTGGATTTATGTAGCAATTTATCATCCCCCGCCTGCAATGCGCAGCTACCAACTCCTTCCCCCCAAATTCATCGATGAACGAAACTGCGGCAGCTACAACCACTGTACGACGAATAATGGTTACTACAGCTGACAATGATGATTTCCTCAGAGCACTATACAGTGGCCTTTAGCATGCCTCTAGTGCTTGGTTATTTGTATTTCCCAGTTTTCCCGTGAATGGAACTAGCAGCCGGCATCGTACGGCGGCGAAGCATCGGTGTTGAAGACAGATGTCATGCTGTCAATTAGGATGATGACTACAGCCCGAGCCAATGTAACACTGGCACTGGTTGACCGACGTACACGTACCAGTGGTTGACACGTACGATTTTTCATGGCTCCAAAAGAGCCTTTTAATTCTTAAGTAGGTTACTTCTTTTGAATGTGTTTGGCCAAATAGAAGTGTTCATTGAGATTCGTGAATTCGCCCATTTCCCTTTATTTTCACAAATCGATTGATGTAAATTGCGATGAGCTGTGAAAAGGCTGTCCTGTCCGTTGAGTTCAAAGAGGCCACATCGTACAGTTTCCCTTCTGAGCGTTGATCATCCTAATTTGCTCCCAAGGCAACCAGAGGACTTGGACTATGCGGAAAACATAATCTTATTCCACGACAATCCGCACAGCATTTCATAGGCAGAATTTCTGATGATCCTTGTTTGTGTTGCACTTTCCAATTCCAAAGATCGATTCGGGAATCACGGTCATCTGTCCCTTGGAAGCGTCAGGCGAAAGGACTAATTTCGTTGACCAGCTTGTCCTCTGGGAAACTCATCATTGTACTTGTGCAGGGGTACAGCTTATAGCTGCCTCAGTGTCGTTCGCCGATGATCTGCGGAAGTGGGGGTAGAATCCAGTGCATTGAATGCGGTGGCTGATATGGTTGGTGTATCATCACAGGAGTGCCAGTGAACTTTTCATTGGTAAGATTGAGAGGGAAAGCTTCGATGCATGCCGACTATTGAGCGCGCGACTGGACCATGTGTGACAATGTCTCTAGTCACTGATTTGTCCCGTGTTGTGGTACCCCATCCAGGGCGGCTGCAATGACCAACGCTGTAGAGTTCGCTTTTAGTAGTTCCCACAATTCGCTGCAATATCATTGTTTGGTCTCCCGCCGCACGTCTCTACCCCTCATTCGGTTGTGCGGAAAGGGCTCTTCGAGGAAGTCGACTGGCACGCGGAGCACGCGACCAAGCCAGTGCAACTTATGGCTAGTGATCTATCCATCTATCATGGGCCATTTGACGCAAAAGTATCCGGATTAATGGTCAGGTCCCACCAGACTCGAGTAATGCTTCGAAGACCTCGATGGTCAAACGCTGGAATTTCTCAGCGCACAGCCGGGTTTTCGGCCCATTTAATGTATAAGCATTGTGGTATCTCGCACCTTTCTCGTTGGTAACCAGGCAGAGCTTACTCACAATTAGAAATCACGCGGGATATAGCACATGTAGTGGTTATGTACCTGACCCTCGACAGCTCTGTGTTACTCCACGCACTTGTTGCTCACCTGTGATCGAAACGGTTAAAGAGATTAAACTCACGAAAGGCAACCCAGTTATCGAAATCGCAAACCGAAAAGCTTTCATTTTGGATCCTGGTGAAAGCTCATCTTCAACCCATCCCATGTTTTACACATCTCGAATCCCTCCCTTCATAAAAAGCGGCGATTTTTGCTAGGCTCACCGCCTTCATCTTACCGTCTTCTATTTTTTCCTTTGGTTCTGTATCGGTTTACTCAGTCTGTCTGACCCACTCACCGTCAATTATGATCATAAAGTGTTCGCTGTCTCACACAACTCAACACTTCCAAACCACCTGGTTCGGATGGTATCCTTATGTTGCTCCACAACTGCGTTCCTGAGCTTGATGCAGACAGTTTCAGGGCTTTTTCATTTACCACTAACCACCGGTGTTTTTCTTTCAGAGTGGAAAATTCATTTGTTTTCCGCATTCTCAAATGTGGTTCCCGCCATGACGCCAGCAACTACTGGTCCATTAGCTTCGTCTTGTCCAAAGTTGATGGATTAATTCTGATCACACGAATCCGCCATCTTGAGAACAATGCCCCTCCAAGTGACTCAATATGAGTCCAGGCTCAACCGTGTTATGGGTGATATTTTGGCTTGTGTCTCTCCGTATTCTTCTAATGAGACGAATCTGGCTGACCTTAATATATCGTAAGCATTTGGCTGGGTTTTTTATGCAGACCTTGTTAGGGTTCCTTTGTACGGACTTCATCTAGACCTGGTCACCCGGATTGGAAGTTCCCAGCGCAGCCGCATCATACCAATAAGAATGGGTAGCGTCACCTGTGATACTAAAAAATCATTGCTGGAATTCCTCAAGGTGATGTTCCCCTCCCGGCATCCCGTTCCAATCTAGCAATGGTGATGGGGCACAAACCACTACTTCCTTGACAATCTTGCCGACATTCTCGGCTAAAACCTTCAAACTCAATAACAATCGACCATTTCAAGTCCCTCCATGTATCAGCCGCCCTTTGTACTTCCACTCTGACCTCTCCTAATTGCACCTGCTCATCATCATCGACAGCATGACACCGGTGTTCAACACAGATGCTTCGCTGCCGTACAACCATGATTTGATTGAAAGCCTTATTGTGAAGAAAACAATAAAGGTTGACGGGGAAGGGACTTAGTGCTGGCTTACTACAATCATTCCTAGGTGTCTATACCTTCAAACAATCATTCAAGCAATATGGATGGAAACTGACAACAAGATCGCCACTGACATCGGTTGGCAGCCATATCTTGCAGCATCTTCAGCCAGGAGCAGTGAGGATCACGCAGTCCCCATCCTGGAAGGCGAGTAGCACCGACAGCACCCAAACTTTTCGCGATTTTTCATACCTCTGCCAGGTCAAGGGTTGGTCACCTCTGCTTCCGCCACTCTTAGTTGGGCTTGGAAAACAGCACTCTTCTGCGAACGATGGCTGGGCATACGCAACACGTCCCAAAAATCAAAAACACATGTCCCAACCAACGCAGCTTCTGGTGCCTGACACATTCTTCAATGGAGGTACCCGTTGCACAACCGAAAACTCGCTTTCTAATTGCCTAGTTACGGATACGCCGATACCAGCCCACACGAGCTATGGTTCTAAGATAACGATTGTTGAAAACCTGAAGACGTCTCAGGCCCGCTGCCCGAACAGGCCAGGTCTCAGAAGCATACAACTAAACAGCCCGCGCTGTAGCTTGATACACACGTCCTTTGATATTCAGGAATACACCACTTTGGCGCCATAGATGCATCAAATTAGCAAACGCGACCCGAGCCCTGCAGATTCGTGCATTGACCCCGTCTGTCACATTACAGCTGGTAATAATACAACTTCCAAGATACGTAAAACCCTTCACAACTTCGAGTGCTTCCCCCTGGATTGTAAGTGGCATATTCAGCGACTGCATCTCCAGGAGGCATGACCTTACACTACGCGGGTACAAAGTGCATACCAAAGACGAGATGGCTTTGGTCAGTTCATCCAAGAATACTTGCGCCTTTTCCTCCTCTGCATATTCCAGATCGGCAAGGTTTTCTTCACAGGCTATTTGAACACCAGTGTTTTGGAGACCCTCCAGCGTTTGTCTCATTATTTCATCGATCACAAAGTTAAAAAGGAATGGAGAGAGTGGGCACCCCTAACGGACATTGCTCTGTGTGCGGAAGTTTTTTGAGAGCTCTCCGTACACTCTCACCTCCGGACGTCTGAGAATGCAAAAAACGTATTATGTTTACAAACTTCCGGGGCATTCCTTGGTGGGCAATTGTCTCAAGAAGAACAGACCGATCAACTGAGTCGAATGCGCCTCGGAAATCCAGGAATACTAGAATCGTGGGTCGCTTATACGTATGGCGTTGTTCTAGCACCTGACGCAGTGTGAAGATTTGGTCAACACAACCCCTACCAGGCCGGAATCCCGCTTGCTGCTCTCGAGTCAGCATCTCACGAGCCACCGTAAGGCGACGAAGCACAATTGACGCCAACAGTCTCGTTACAACCGGAGTCAAGCTGATCCCCCTGTGGTTACCACACTCACTACGCGCCCCTTTCTTGAAAATTGCAAGGAAACAGATCGGACAGGCGCTGAATGAGGACTTCACCGCCGTCTTTGAACAGTGCCGGTGGAAGGTCATCCGGACCGGGAGTTCGGTGGCGCTTGAGAGAACATATGCAGTCGTAAACCTCCGAGGCCGTAGGTAGTTCCACGTTCACCGTCCAGGGTTCTACGTCACCTGTGGGTTCCAGATGGGTGTCAGCTGGTGGCCATGACAATTGTTTGAAGTATTCGTCCTAACGGTTGAGACGTTCTTGTTCATT